GTCCAAAGCCAGGCTCTAGTCTGGACCTGGTTCTGATCCAGCTGAAAATGTTCTCCAGCAGGAGCTGCAGGCAGAACTGCTCAGACTGGACCGGTTCTGTCCTGTCAACAAGACATTGTCTCAGTGTCTTCATGCCCTAATGTCTCAGTGTCCTCATGTTTCCATGTCTCAGTGTCCTCATGTCTTCATGTCCTCTTGTCTTCATGTCTCAGTGTCCTCATGTATCCATCTCTCAGCATCCTCATGTCTCAGTATCTTTATGTCCTCATGTCTCAGTGTCTCAGCATCATGTCTTCATGTCTCAGCATCCTCAAGTCTTCATGTCTCCATGTCTCAGCATCCTCATGTCTCAGTATCTTCATGTCCTCATGTCTCAGTATCTTCATGTCCTCATGTCTCAGTGTCTCCATGGTAACAGTNCTGGACTTGTCCCACCTGTCTGACCTGGACTTGTCCCACCTGTCTGACCTGGACTTGTCCCACCTGTCTGACCTGGACTTGTCCCACCTGGTCCTCAGGGAGCTGTTACCCGTGTCCAGAGACGGTGTCTCTGAGCTGCACCTGTGGGTCTGCGGTTCTGGTGGTCCCATGTGGACGTGAGAAGACCACCAGACCTCCTCGCTGCAAGGAGCCCTGCAGGTACTCCTGAGCTTCTCTGTCCCAAGGTTCTGTTGGGTTTCACATGTGACCCGGTCCTCCTCTGTCCCCAGGTGTCCCCCCTCCTGCCACCACCGGTCCAGAGAGCCCCACCGGTGCCACCCGGGCCCGTGCCCCCCCTGCAGACAGGTGTGTGGACTGGCGCTGCCCGGCTGCAGACACACCTGTCCTCAGCCCTGCCATGACCTGGTTCTGGTCCGGTCCCAACAGGTCCGTCTCTGTCTTGTGTTTGCAGCTGATTGTAAGGAGGGTTTGGACCCAGAACCGGCCCACGGGTCAGAGTCTGAAGGATCTAACCCCTCCCTCTGGTTTTATGTCTCTGAGGGTCTGCAGGTCCAGCTGGCGGGTCCGTGGGAACAGCCATCAGAACCGGCCTTCGTGAAGAAAGCTCTGCCCTGTCCTCCCTGCCAAGTACCCATCCCAACGTGAGTCCAACCGGACCAGAACCTGGGTCTGAAACCACAGAGTCTACAGTCTGGACCTGCCAGACTCTTTAGACCTGAGAGGGACACAGTCTGCCTGTTGTG